ATTAATACATTTTCAGAAATGTAGGTAAAATAACAAAATTGCATTTTAAAAGACATTCTGAATTTTGATTTTCTTATTAGCACAAACTGATTAAACTGACTTTTCTCCTAATTACCCAAATGAGGAAGTAAAATTGTCCTTTCAAAAAAGTTTTATGTACGGAAATGAGCACTGTTGCCGCAATAATCTCGGTTTAGGGAACCGTATCTGCAGCTAGCGCCCGTGCACCCAGGTTCACATTTGTGACTTTTCCACAATCAAACAGCCAAATGATCCTGGTCACTTAGTCAAGTCACTTTTTGAAGTGTATAATTTTTATTGGAGTAGCTGTATCGTGAAAGTTTTACAGGTCAATGTATAACTTAAAATATTAAGTCAACGTCCTGTCACATAAAACTGTCTAATTTTCTTACTGTTAAAAATATCCAGCAACATTAGTTCAGATCAGATAGTACTATTGAGGCTTATTATCTAAATGATAATTTTTAAATTTCTGTGAGGGAAAGGTCGTGGAACTAAGGTGGTACAGATTCGCGCCACCCCTCGGATGTCTTCCTTTCTGCTTCCAGCCTGTGTAATGCGGTGTCTGCCTGCTGCTGTGAGGAGGTACGGGGTCTCACGGTTTATGATGTTAGGGTTTCACTTAGCCCCATGCATAGTTATAAAATTAAAAATGTGTTATATCTCTTTTTAAAATACCGGATAATTTCCTGTGTAATCTCTCCTCCACAATTCTGGTAGATTTTATTTCATGGCGATATTTCAATGGTTTGCACCAGAATCAGCTGTGTTTTCTTGTGTGGACATTCCCAGGGTCCCTTCTTACTCGGCCTCACCAGGGCCGCCATTCTCTCTCCCTCTGTTGAGAAGATCTAGACTGTAACAATAGCTGGAAAAACTATTGGTTGGACTTTTAGATAGTACCCCCCCCCCCAATTAAAAACAAACAATTGGAGAACAGTTGGTTAAGTATGTCTTTCATTGACAGTAAGGTGCTTTTAAGATCAAATTTCTGTTCTTTTTTTTTCTTCTTAGATTAGCACCTGAGCTAACATCTGTTGCCAACCTTCTTTTTTTCTTTTTTTTTCCTTCTTCTTCTCCCCAAAACTCCCCCAGTACATAGTTGTATATTCTAGTGGTGAGTGCCTCTGGTTGTGCTATGTGGGACACCGCCTCAGCATGGCCTGATGAGTGGTGCCATGTCCACGCCCAGGATCCAAACCCACAAAACCCTGGGCCGCCGAAGTAGAGCGTGTGAACTTAACCACTTGGCCATGGGGCCCGTCCCTCAAATTTCCATTCTTATAAATGATCTGGAAAAGTATTTAGTGTTGGGACCCAGTTTTTGAGAGAGTAACATAATAGAGTATTGTCTTTTGGTGTATGACAAGGCAACAGAAAGGCTTAATCGTTTGTTGTTATATATGAAGTAGGAAAAATACTGTGACCAGGGATATGTATTTAATACCATCCTGAATAATAGTGATTTATTATTATTGCTAATGAAATGTGGTAGTTGGGGTCAGAGAGAAGGAAGCCAGTATTTACTGAGGATCTTGTAAGTTAGGAACTGTGTCTGTAAAGTAGATTCACTTAGATTATCTAATGTGTTGGAAATTTGCAGAAAAAAATTGGAAGCCATATGGTGAATTTTTATTTTAATGGGAGGTTTTTGAAAATCAGTATAAGAAGTTAGTCATCTATGAGATAGGACCAGTAGCCCATGATTGATGTTCTCGGAGGATAACTGAGCTTCCCCTCCCACTGCAGCAAGAATAGCCCTGCCCTGGGGATCCAGATGGGTGGGGCCTCTCTGGCTCTTTCAATCCTGTAATGATGGATTTTTGCCCACATGGTTGGCCAGCATGCTAATAGTTTTACTCAGCTGTTTGTTTCAGACTGTATATAGTCTTCCCTCTTTTCTCCCTTACTCAGCCTTCTCTGTAATCCCTTTCTAATAACCTCATCACAACAAACGTTTCAACCTTTCTCTTGCCTCCTATAGCTGAATCAGAGCAAGTGATTAATGAGGTGCCAAGTTCCAAGGACAGACAGCTGTCCTCACACCCTGAGGCTCTTCCTTTCTCCGCCCTCACTTGGCATTCACACACTGCCTGTGTTGACCTGTGTGTCTTTACGTGAATTTATGGCATCTCCATCTAAGTCTTACATTCCTTAAGGACAAGCGCTGTTTGTTATTCTTATCTCTGTCTCCCACATTCTTAACCTTTTTGCTCAATATATATGCTTGATTGACCTAATGAATGTCTTGGTATGGAACATTTACATTGAGTTTAAGAATCTGCAAGGTTAATATTGTGATACAGTTACAGAGTGTTAATCCTTCATAGTGAATTCTGCTTTACTGTTTTCCATAAAACCCCACATACACTAGACCTTTCTCTTACCCTTTGGCCTTCAACTCGTAGGTAGCTTCCCCTTTTACAGGCCCTTTGTAAATCCATTTTTCATGCCTGAGCCAGGGCAAGGTTTATGGACCATGTGTAAAAAGAAATATGTTTGTGGCTAATTGTAGATTGTAAACAATTTGAAGGCAGAGACCCTAATTCATGCTCTTTTCTTTCCAGTGTCTGTCATCAACTCAGTGCTCACAAACATTGAGATGAGTGGGTGGGTGGAATATGTGCAAGAGGAAGAGAAATGGTTATGGTCAGTGATGTCACTGCTTTGTGTTGTCTTCAGCACAGCTCCGTATCATGTTAGTTTAAGCTGGCCTTACTTAGTGTCATCAGTGCTTTAAACATAATTCCTTCCATAAGGATGACAGTGTTATCACGTTCCATTACATGTATTGATTTTCACCAAAGAAAATTACTGAATGATTCTTAGCAAGGGATGTGGTATCATACTGGAAAAAAACTTATCTAGCAGCTCAACATTGGAAAGGAGGAAGGGGAGACCTAAGAAATGAAGAAATCTGAGTGCTGGTGACATCTGTCCAGCATCTTTCATAACTGGGGCTTTCTTCTTAAAAACTACCAAAATTTCTTTTTTATTTCTCATGACAAATATGTTAATTAATTTGTTTGAAAGTCTTTTGTCACTTTATAGTATGGTGACCTTTGTCCAAATGACTGTTCATCTGACAAACCCAGCCCGTGTACCTTTTACTGGAACACAGTAATGATGTTTGTTGTCTGCTTCTTCCATTTTCATCTCCTCCTGCCGTTTGTCGCTTTCCACCTCCAGACAGCAGGCGAGTCTATTTGTCTGCCTCAGCTTAATATGTAAATCCCCCCCGAGCACGTGAATGTGCTGGGGTAGGGTGTCTCTTATATCACATTTGATACCTCCAAGTATATTCTGCTGTGTGTAGTAAATTCTAATTCGGCTCTGAACTTGTGACCTATTTTAATTATTTTGTAAGAAAAGTAGAGCTGTGTCTTACCATGTTTTATGCTTACCTTCCTTCTACATGTCTGTGTATCAACACGCAGATATACAGCTTTTAGTGAAAAAAAAAAGGATTATTCAGAAAATTTGAATTAAGATAACTTTGGGATAATTCTAAACCATTGACAATTAACATTGCTTTATATTATCTATAGTACAATTTTCATTTATGTGATTTAAAGTGAAGCGGTGGAAAAAGTTTATTTGGATTACATATACTTTTCCTTATACCAAGGATGAAGGAACCTTTTTTCCTATTGGGTTAAATAAAAAGCTGTTTGGAGCTTACATTAAATTAGTTAATTTTACACACCAAGTGATCATTTTAAAAGACCAGCTTATAGGATTGAAAGAATTGTATTAATTTAGTAACATATCCAGTAGACTGACGAATACATGGAAAATACATTTTATCAGATGACATAACTGTTGGCAATATATAATGAATAGTGATAAATGTATTTCGTTTAGTTTTGTTGTCAAGAAAGGGGGAAGAAGTGGCAGAGTTGGGAGAAAGGGTTATAGGAGAAAGTCACAGAAAAATCAAGGAGAGAGGAAGACATTGTCAGTGAAGGCTGAAGCTTCCAAGGAAAGACAAATTTTCTGATGGATTAATTGCATCATCACACATCACAGCTCTCAGCACGGTAACATTTGTGATCATGCATGCCGATTACAGAACCCTGGGATGTTGGCAGGTATAGTTACACTTCATGGATGGAGTAATTCAGGCTGAGAAGGGTTCAGCAGCTTGCTGAATGTCCATAGCTGGCTAATAGCAGAGGTGGGCCTTGAACCCAGGTCATCAGACTGTGCACCCAATACTCTTTCCTCTTCATGGCCCTACGTCTTCAAATAACTGAAAAGTTGTGCATCACTTTGTCCTGCCTTGTTCCCCTTCTCCCATTCTTGATCTTGGTTGGTTTATTCCACAGCTGGCTACTTTGGTCTGTTAAGTTTGCCTACATTTGCCTCACTAGTACATCAAAGCATAGATTTAATTTTTACTGTACTTGTCAAATTAAGCAGTGGGTGGAATCTGGTAACTGGCCCTGGTATTGACTTTGTAATGTGGACCGGAGACCTACTCTGAAATAGTTGCTGCACTGTGCATCACTGTTTACAGTAACCCTGGGTGTTGGTGGTATTGGTCTCAGTTTATGGAAACTAAGGCTAAGCCCAGAGAGGGTACGTCGTTCTCCATCCTTGCTCACTGGAACCCTAAGTGGGAATGCTAGGGTTTGAACTCTGGTTTTTCTGCCTTCAAAGCCCTTGGCTCTTTCCTTGATGAATAACTCCCTCTCTCCACCAAGGTCAGACAGCTTTTTGGATACTGAAAAAAACCTGAGGGTTAAAAGGTGCAAAATTTTCTGTCTCTGTACCCTCATCCCACAAATGAACTTTTAGGTAGATAAAATGTCCTGTCTCTAAAGCTGTGTCCTGAGATTGTCATTCTTGTACCAGGAAAGCCACAGAAGTTACTGAAAGTTTTTTTCACTCATTATCTAAAAGAGGGGATGAAGTGAAAGCTATTAGGACTTTTTAAACCTATGTGTTAATTAAAATCTGTTATCCTTTATTCATAGTATAAAGATGCATTTATGAAAGCAAATCCTGGCTACAAATGGTGTCCTACCACAAACAAGCCCGTGAAATCCCCAACACCCACTGTCAACCCACGAAAGAAACTCTGGGCCTTCCCGTCTGACTCTTCGAGAGACTTACCAAGCCCCAAGAAAGCTAAGACCGAAGAAATGCCTCAGCTTAACTTTGGAATGGCCGGTGAGTTTAGACTCTGTTTCTACCTTCCTTAAGGACGGGGCCATACGTTAGGCAATATTTTTAACAAATAATACAGAGAGAGAAGCGAAGTGAAATTTATAACCAGTGGAAATATATAGCATATCTTAAAGCTTTGGAGCATGACATGCATAGAATGTGTATAAAGAATTAAAGGAAGGAGGTACAGACCAAGTGCTAGGGTCGTTATAAATATATGTGAATTCCTGACATTGATATTATGGAAAAGCAGACAGCAATGTAGAGACTGTCAGGAGCTCAAGGAATTTTCTAATGTAACAAAACAGCTTACACACACATATACACTATTAAGCTGTCCCAGTAAGCACCTTCGTTATCGTGGGTACTTAAAAAGTCACAACTATGTAGGTCATCTGAGGATCTGAAGCATTGAGGGCAAGAATATGAACAACTCCATCGCAAATCTGAGACAAATCTGACAGCTGTTTCTTAGAGGGAATTCCAGTCCTACCCACTTCCTACCCCAGTTCCTGTATGGGCTGGGCAAATTTAAAGTTCCAGATGGTCCCATTTATTATGGGACCTTTAATACTCTTTGGGTGGTAAGGAATGCTGAAGCATTTATTACCATGAAATAAAGTATTTATCTTCACCCTGCAAATGGCTGTGTCTTCCCTGGCTGTTGCAATGCAGGAATCAAAAGAGGAATTTTCCAGGATGCAATTGGGAGATTGGACAGAGTGGAGGCAGTGAAGTTGGTGTTGAGCTATCAGGTTCCTATTTCATTATTACAAGCAAATGTTCTTCAAAACGAGAGCACTGAGCCATTTGCAATACAGAAAGCTTAGGAGAGAAGGTTGCACAACATTGTGAGGACACCTCATTTTTTTAGTAGCCAGTAGACCTAATGAGATTTAATAGTGCAGTATGTGATTCATAGCATAACAAGGATGTGTTGGTGTCCTACATAAACCGAGAAAGGCAGTCTAACGTAATGGCAGCATTCTGGGGGGACAAACGCTTGGGGTGACTGTGATGTAAGTGTGTGTAGTATAATTCTAGGTGAGCTTCCGAAATGATGCTTCTGCATATCCCAGAAGAACCCAGAGATCTGTCCTTGTTGTAGCTGTCATTTTATAGACAATTTTAGCTTCAACCCACTTGCCAGTAGTCTTGGTGAGCTTTCTGCGCTTCCCAGATTCTAGCAATTGGTGTGTTCTATAAAACATTCTGTTATCAGGACCAAAGAAGACTATATGGACGATTGGCTTCTACTGGAATTCCTTCGATTATTATTTATCTTCCGTTACTTTTTCTCCCAATACTAAATCTACATCAGTCTCTGTAGGTTTTTTGCATACAATGTCTCTTCACAAACCAAAAATAACTGTAGAAAAACTACAGAAAGCTGTAAAAGATGACTGTAGCACCACTTCTGACAGTTTACTAGTCTACCTTTTATACCTACAAATTGAAAACGGGACCTAGACTTCAACAAGATATTTACATGTCAGCTTTTAAAAACAGCGTTCTTTAAAGTGAAATGCTGGAAAGGAGAACATCCCCCTCGCATTACGTCGTTCCGAAGGACTGGTGAGGGGTGCTGGGAATCCACAATGAGAGTCCTCGCTGAGCTAGTGTATAGTGGGTGACACTGGTCCAGCATTTCTAGTTATGTCCCTGTTCAGCACAGTGAAAGCAAATTAGTTTGCCTTTAATTAAACATGGTCCTTAGCTTTTTGAATCTAGCCGATACCGTAGGACTTTTAGAGGCCAGGTGAAGCTTTTCCTCAACATGAAACTCATTTTGTCTTTTTCCCGATAGTCCTTATCACATGAGATTTTGCTATTTTGAATAACCCCAAAGCCGTCAAATGTGTGATTTCCAAGAATGAAAAGCTATGTAGAATTTAATTTAGTATGACCCCTTTGGAGGAGGGAAAGCATGCTATTTATATATTTTTGATATTTCTGAATAACATTATGTAAGTATAAATTAATATAAAGGATGATGGCAATTCCTTGGTCTGCGTTTTAGAGTCTATACAGCAAACTTCCTGCAAAGTCACGTTGGCATATAACTGAAATAAATTATCTGGGAAATGTGTTCCTGTTCTACTTTAGAATTTGCACTAATGCATTGTCCTTATTAGAAAGCCATCCTCCAGCCCTCCTGAATAGAACGTCTAGAATGACAGCAGCAACAGTATTTAGCTGCCCAAAGAACCAAATTAAACTTGTGCTTTGTTATATTCATCTCCCCTTCTTGATTTTTATTTTTAAATAGATTTAAGTGTCTGTTTTAACAGCCAGAGTAGTTCTTAAACTTAACACTTAACTAAGGATGGAATCTTAAAACAACAGCAAAGAGCCTTGTTTCGTCAAATCAGCCGGTGTTCCCGTGTATTCGCCATCGGTGTCTTCCTCTGTGGCTGCCTTCCAACACTGGGCTATTTCTTAACCACCTGATCATTTGATGACACACTATCCCCTCTAATAACCTCTTCCTTTTTTTTTTAATTTTTAACTCTCTCAGATTCTTTTTTCAATCGTTTTTTAATTTGACTCTATATAAGGTGCAATCTGAGTTGCTTCATGAGTTCTCGAGACAGACTATGTACAAAGATGACTTAAGGGCCTACCTTTAAACAAAAAATCAAAAATCAGAAAGAAACTCCTAAATCTCTTCAGGCAACAAGATGCCTGGTCCTCATGTTTAATTGTAGAGAGATCCCTAAAATTAAAAATGCCTTTATTGAGGACCTTTATGCACTAGGATAGGTGCTGAGGGAGGCATTTTCACATGTGTTATTTCATTGCAGTTCTGAAACTTAATTCATTTAAGACAACCTTAAAGGATCTAGGTTTCTTGTTGTCTGTAATACTTTCTTTGTTTAGATAGAATCCTGAGTCAGAAATCTGCCACTCTCCTGTTTTTATTTTGTCTTTTTGTTTCTACTGATTATCAAAGGAATGAAAACAAAGACTTTGGGTAATATAAAAAGGATTCATTTTAAATCTTAAAGATATTTTGAGGATGGTCCTGTCTGTACGCTTCAGATGTAAAATGTCAAAAATACATCACTGTTTAATTTGTTTTTGAAAATCTTAAAGATTATTTGAACAAAGCCCACTAGATTTTGGAGGCCTTTTTGTAAAATTTCTCTCTGTTTCTCCGATAGCCTGGACCTTTTTCTCAGCCCCAATTTCACATGGCAGAAATAACAATGTGAGAAGAACAATCTCAAACTTCTTAGAAGACAAGCATAAGCACTCTTTTGTTTAAAAAAATTCATCTAAACCCCCTAGGCAGTCAGGAAAGAAGCCTTTCATTAGGAGATAGCTCATGTTCTAAACAGCTGTGATTTGGAAGAAAGCACTGTGTTGGAACGGTGGGACAACAGTGGTGTTTAAAAAGCTCACAAAGTAAGAGTACTGAGCACATATATGCCAGGTTGTTGGTACATAAAGGGTTTTTAAAGTTTTCTATAAAAAGTTATATGTGATTCTGTTGGATTTCTGATTGCTAGTCTTTGTATTTGACTCTGCATGGATTATACATACTTCATGGTTATAAATTGATGATTTATTTGTTTTTGACTTATTTAGATCCTACTCAAATGGGCGGCCTGAGCATGCTGCTTTTAGCTGGAGAACATGCTCTTGGCACACCAGAGGTAAGCCGGTCCCTCACCCCTCTCCCCTCTGCTCATGCTGGACGTTGAGAGCACAGACATTTGTCTTCCATTCACACTGTTGGTTCTATAGTTTCACTGTTGTACAGACTCGTGAACAAACTTTGCTTTTAATTGTTTTCAGTAAGATCTGTTTATTGCATTACATTGTGCCTTGAGGGTAATGGAAGTGGTGTAAATAAGCCCAAGAGGACACAGACACGGGTCAGGTGCAGATTTTGAGGTTCCATGAGCCTAGGAGTAAAAAAGGCCGTGGACATACCGATAATTAGCATTTGCCATGACTGTGTCATGGGTCTGTACAGTGGATCCTATGATCCATTCGGCTCTATTCATAACATTCCCTGCTTTTGTGATGTTCTCATTTAGACTTGCTAGTGAAAAGATGAGAGTTTAAAAAAAGCATGAAGCTGTCAGTCTCTCTGGTGTCTGAATAAATTCAAACTCCTGTTTTTGAAAATCAGGAAACACGGCATTCCAAGCTTGTTTTATTCTTCAAAATGGAAAATGAAAAGGACCCATGCCCTCATGACCTTGGTTTCATGATCTTTTATTCCCTTGTATAGTTATTGGGCTGCTTTTGCTCAACAGTTTTCGGTCTGATTTTGATGGGCAGGTGGTAGCAGTTAACCATGCATAGTTTGCATTTGTGGAATTCCTCTATTTTCCAGACCCATTTAACAGGGGCCAGACAAATTAACCTGCAGGTCGTGTTATTTTACACACTCAGGTACTTGAGATGGAAATTTTTCAATCCCCAACCACAGTCACTATTTAGGGCAAAGTAGCAGTCAGCTCAATTTTATTGCGGATATATTTTTTTCTTTTTTTTTTTTTAAGTTGTGAGTATGCCCTACAGATTACAGTTGAAGCCTATTCAAATAATGGTTTTAGAAGATACCATATAAGATATGTACATCACAAAAGGCTTTTATGATTTATAGTTTACATTTGGGATCCATAGTAGTTGACCAAATGCTTGATCTAACTTAATTATTTTGATTCCATTCAATTCAGTGTAGCAAAAAATGTGTAAATTGATGGACTGGTAGGTATTTACATTGTACTACTCTTTAGCTGAAAAAGGTAAACATGTCCCTCTGAACCTTCGCATACTCATTCGGCATAGATTGTGCTTCCTAACACACTAGCATTCTCGGGCGTCATTTCACTCTCTAACACGCGGCTGCTGCCTAACAGCAGTCAGACTAACTCTCACGTGAGTGTCTCCCAAGCATGTTCCAAAAGGTGAATGTTGGAATAAGAATGCACACTTGACATTTCCGCACAGGCCGACTCATGATTTCCAAGGATGCACCATATTCTGAAGTCAGCCTCATCTCTTCTAACAGATTAGATTATAATAATGTTTCCTTCCCAACATCTGTTAGTGTTCTTTTTAACCTTCAGGAACAAATGTAAACAAATAAACATCTATAGAACTTACAGATAGATGGAATGCTAGTCAAAGAAAAGAATGATTGTTGTTTTCTTTGATTAAAGTTTGCCTCCTGGGCTCTTTTCAGTGAAGATTTCTCCTCCCACCTTTTTTTTTTTTTTTTTAAAGATTGGCACCTGAGCTAACAACTGTTGCCAATCTTCTTTTTTTTTTTTCTCCCCCAACCCCCTTAGTACATGGTTGTACATTTTTAGTTGTGGGTCCTTCCAGTTGTGGCATGTGGGACGCCGCCTCACCGTGGCCTGATGAGCAGTGCCATGTCCGCACCCAGGATCCGAACCAGCGAAACCCTGGGTCACCAAAGGTGGAGCGCGAGAACTTAACCACTTGGCCGGCCCCTCCTCCCGTCTTTTAAGAGCAGCCGAGTTTTGACACAAGCAGTTTAAACAGTGCAGAGGTCAACCTTTCGTTTCTGATAAAGGGGAACCATTTTGAGAATTCTCAAGCTAAAGAAACTGAGAAAGCTAAGTGACTTAAAGAAGTGGACCATATAGGAGAAGGGAGGTTTGCTAAGGCGCTGCCCTCACTCACGTCTGTAAGAACTCCTTCTAAGAATGCAACTCTTCCTGCGTAACCCTACTTCTCACCTCAGAGATATTTCGGTCGTTATTGAAGATAAGCTTGAGATACTGAAACAATAAAGCAGTGAATTTGTATAAAATAATCCTGTCTCTGAATATAATTAATTAGAGAGTTTATGTCTTACGTATTGGCAGACTTCGTGCAGCACCTGATTTCCTGTGCACAGTCTTGCAAATGTGCAGACATGGTCGTAGAACTTTCGGGGCTTAAATACATAGAGACGTGATCAGCGTAAGACACATATAGTAAATATATACTTACATTTTTCTAAGAAAATTGTGAGGATAATGAGATAAGAAGAGAGAGACAGAAATTTCATACTTCTGTCATTTGGAACAATTACTATGAAGTCTGTTTATAATGTTAGGTAGGACCAGTCAAATAAAGTGACGTTTTCCAAAACTTCTGCCACAGAGAAGGTCTGATTGTAAGGGCTTTTTAAAATGGCCATGACGGAATTCTTATTCTGAAATAGCATTCTTAAAGGGAGGAGATTTTCCTGAGTTAACTAAGTTGAGACCTAACACCACATAGAAAAAGTCCTCAAAAGCCAATATTTTTTAATTATGGAAATTTTAATATAGGTTAAATATATTTTTAATATAAGTTTTATATATATATAGGTTATATATTTAGTATAGGTTATATCTATAGGGCAGTATATATGTATATATTTAAACAATTCTAGAAGGTAGAGAGGCTGGTTGTAACTGAAATAATACAATTTGAGATTCAAAGCATCTTTGGCGTATAGTGTTTCCTGCATCTACCTGAAGTGCTCATATTTTTTAGAGAGAAATAGAGGTTCTTGAGATAGCAGGGGAGAAATAATAACAAAATGTTTTCTCTTTTTCTTAGTCCTTTGATTAACTCTGAACCCACCATAATAGATTTTGGGCGTTATTGGGCCAGTGTTTCTATATGTGACTGTTATTGAGCCACGCTTGGTTCTGTGGTTTCACTTGTGGCAATTTTGTGTCTCTGATGTAAAAAAGGGATGAAATTTGCATTTACAGTTTGTTTTGGTTCTTTTATTTTTCACATAAATCATCAGCCTCATATTTCCTTTATACCCAGAATACATTAAAATGCATTAAATATTTGGGATAAATTTTAAAAAGCAGTGTTTGTCATTAAAGAATTTATGGATAGAGGAAGCAGCATAGATGTGTTGGTCAAGATGGGCATAGAGGAGTGACCCGTGGCTCAAAATGGTGGACACAGCTTGATGCTCCTGAGACCTGGTGACACAGGAACACAGCAGTCTTGTTAGGAAATAATCCCATATCAGGGAAGGAAGTAGAAAGAAGTGTTTCCAATGAATGTGAGATTTTAGCAAACTTACATAAATCAGAAATCGAACAGAAGTTGTTTAATCAATAAAATATGATACAAGTGCCAGCTGAAAATAGGCTAGCTGGGGGCTGCAGAGAGCCAGTCTGTTCACCAGAATGCCCTGGGATTTGAGCGAACATACGTACTTTTTTTTTTTTTGCTTTAAAGGAACAAGAAAGAGAAAATAGAAGAAATGAAAGTAATAATGTTCACATCAAACTCTGGGAAGAGCTAAAGAGAAGGCAGCTAAATTAAGGGAGTTAAGCCCTTAGGTTTCATATCAGGGAGTTATTATCTAAGATGAAAGTGCAATAAATAATAAGTATTTGATCTAGACGTTCTAGAAGTAATCTTTAAGGCTAAAAGTCTTCTGTACTGTTATATTTATTACTTTAATAAAAATGTAAAGCTAAATTAAAATTTAATAATAAAGGCATGGATGACCAGTCCCAGTGGCCTAGTGGTTAAGCTCGGCATGCTCCACTTCAGTGATTCAGGTTCGGTCCCCAGGCACAGACCTACACCACTTGTCAGTGGCTGTGCTGTGGCAGCAGCCCACATATGAAACAGAGGAAGATTGGCAACAGGTGTTAGCTCAGGGAGACTCTTCCCCAGCAAAAAAATAAATAAATAAAGGCAGGGAGTGCTACAATTCAGAGTGTGTGAAAGGAAGATAATTCTGTTCTATAATCTATAGAACAGCTTGGATTAATAGTAGAAAGGACAACATTCCATGGTGGACCTAAGTGGGCGCCAGAAAGTCATCTTGGCTAGATCAGAAGGGATGGTTTGGGGAATGATGGAAAATATGTAACGTTAGGCGGATGAAAAGGTTTGAAGGCGTCAGTGTCTCTTTTGTTGAATGACTGAGGGGAAACTTTCTGGTGTATGGGAGGGGCATTAGATCTTGGGTCCTGATTTTAGAATGCCTAGTCTCTGTTGGAACCAAAAGACAAGACAGCAAAGTTATGGTCAAGCCACTGTCTTCTTTGCCTTCCATCCTGTAAAATGGAGCTAATAATAATACCACGTGCCTCTAACGCCCAAGACATCTGTGAAGATTAATTAAATAAAACCCATAAGGCATTTTTCACTCTCCTGAAAAGGCTTCTTGTAGGTACCTAGTATTATTACCATAAATTATTCCAGGAATTTCATACTTAACTTGAAAGCTTAAATTACAGCAGGCATTGCTCCTAAAGCCTCTGGTATGCTTTACCAGCACTGCACGCACACACAGAGTTCCTGCCCATTGAAAATTTGTAGGAAATTACAGGTGTAATTTGCTCCTTTATCACCAGGTGCTCGAGGAGGAGACAACTTTTTAATACCTGGGAGCAATCAATATACGAAGTCTGACTTCAGCAGCGTGGCTGAGTTAGCGTCAAAGTTAGGGGAGAATATGCCTACAGATGATGGCGCGCCTCCGTTAAGGAACTATAAAGGTCGCGTTGTATAAGAATTAAGCGGTGCAGGAACTGTGTGTCATCTTTTCTCAGATTCAGTCATATGGCAGGTATCTATCGCATGCTTTCTATGTGCCAGGCACATTGGCAAACAGACCAGATACAGTCTCTGCCCTCGTGGATGATGTATGAAGGTTCAG